AGAGATGTGTTAAACGCCTTGCCCATATCAATATCTTTACTTTCAAAATCAACAATTATGACGTGAAAGTTCCTGTCATCGGTCAAGAAGCTGGCTTCAGTCAGTTGATTTATGAAATGATGCACCCACTTTCCTTGATCTTTGACAGGGAGAATGAAATACACTGTAGCGCTGTTATTCCATATGAAACCCTCAGGAAGGCACAAGGTGTCGTTTCCCTTTCTCTGATACACGTGTTCTGACAGTCGAAATGATTGATTGGTGTTGTCCAAGCCGAGTTCGAGGTTTAACAAGAAGCGATCGCCATACTTCGGGTCTGGCTTGTGAGTTACTTTGTGGATTTTCTTCAAGAAGTAGTTCCTAAACAAAGAAAAGGTTTGATTTTAATAAAGGTTCGACAAGAATCAATCGAGTCCAAGTTAGTTATGCCATGAGTGGCTACCTCAAGTACATTCAGAACCGAAGCCGGAAAAAATTATGACTGAGACAATGTCCATGGTTAAATTCTCTTCTTAAAGGTATTTAGCAGCTGTTTTACTTTCCCCTTCAAAAAAGAAACTACAAAAACTGACTGAAGAAAGTGCCTAAGTTTGCCACACACTGGATACGCTCCCCCCCCGGTACTCCCTTTAGGGGCGTAGCCAGGATTTTTCAAAGAGGGGGAGAGGTCACACTGAGTCAAGTGTGGGCTTTTTAACAATAGCCAAGATATCGTCATGGCATTTAGGCTGTTTGCTTAAAAATGGCTTACAAAAGGGGGGTCACGGGCAGCCTAGGACCCCCCTAGCTACGTCCTTGCCCTTATATGGGCTGTATAAGTATGTGCGGCCCCAAAGGGTAGGGTTTTCAGCCCTAACCCTTTGGTCATGTATCGGGTGTCGATTTTGGCCATTTAAATAGCGTATGGTTTTTGCACCCTGGTCTTGAACTGGGTATGTTTTTAGAAGAAGCTACTTTTTCAGGTCATAAATAGGGTAGGGAAAATCGAAGACTTTGGTCATAAATAGGGTAAGGGGTTTGGGAAGGGGGCCGCACACTCCCACCCAATTTTGCTGGGAGTACTCGACCGGGCTACGGCCTTGACATTGGATGCTTTTTCTCCAAGGCTCAGTGAGATATTACCTCTCTTTTGACTCATGGCCAAAAATCTGTGAGATAAAGCGTTAAACAACATTCGTAAATTTTGAGCTTTTTCGAACTAAGGGACCGACTGTTTACGATGTCTAGGTGTAGAAGACGTAAGAAAGGTACTGAACATAGTAGAAATGAGTAAAAAACCCGTTACGCTCATTTTAACATACTGAAACAGGGCTTAGCCCGAAACGTTTACACGAACTATTTGACACTGTAAAGAGCTTTTTCAGCCTGGTACTAAACACATCTTACAAGTGCAATAAGATGTCTTAAAATTTAGCCTTCGGTTGCTGACCTACGTCTGCTGCTTTCAACCAATCAGGATTGAGAGACTTTGTTGAGTGCACCACAATAGCATGTTGATAAGCACAATACTCTAGAGTGACAGTGTGACTGTTGAGATATTGCATTATGAGTGTTTGTTTAAATATGACAGTTCCTCGAGTAAACATCCAATATTAGAACTTTGAAAATATATCCTTGTCAGGAAACTGAAAATTTCTTTAACTAACTTCCGTATGCCACGTTCTTTGTAAGTCAGTATTGCTGCGGTGAGTACTTCATACGTAACGAAAGATGGGAGGAAGACGCTAAATTAACTACGCCGAAACTTTCAAACAAAGCCCTCACTAAGGTTAACAACAACAATTACAGCTCCCTGCAAAAAACAAATATAACACTGTGTTTTATAACCGTAAATTTTGCATTAAAAGTGTGTATAAATATCCGATAATATAAAGTAATGCAAAGCCGTGGACCCAACGGTTATTGTAACATAAAGGCATCGCTTCTCTATGGCAAGAAATGGTGTGGTTTTCTACTGTAGAGCTAAATACGGCACTTTCTTACCTAGCGAAATTAAGAAGCGAGTTGAACTTACCTAGACCGCAAAACATCGATGAACTTGTTCACGATGGGTTCAACTGTGTTCCTATAAACCCGTGGATTGGGTTTTGACCATGGATGTTTCCAGGCACTTTTGAAAAGGTCTGTCTTTTGTTTTAGGAATAATAAACTGTTAATGTAAAAAAAGAGAGAAAAAAGTTACTCACCGACGGGATCTCTTAATATTTTTTTAGGAATTCCGATGTCCTATCTTGACAAAGTACGTCAAGGAAACCAAATTTACTTTCTTCCAGTAGACATTTGGCTTCTAAATGCTAAAAAAAATAACTATAAAAGGTGAAAAAAATAGGCTTGGTTTAGACGACTGATAGAGTAGCTTTTTTTGTGCCAAAAAACAAACAAATAACAACAACAACATCAACAACAAAAAACCCATCCTATTCGTGTGACTTGCTATAAACGCTTCCCTACTATGGGTTGTATCGTGGAAGACTCTGTCTGACTACTAGAAATCCAAGCTGGCGTCTAGCGGCATGTGCCGATTTTCGGAAACTAGATTTTCTGAAAGCACATTTTAATAAATTTTGCTTTAAACATCTTAAAAAACTCTGAAAGCCGTAAACTGGCGTGAGACGATGAATTCTAGTCACCATTTTGGCGGCTAATTTTCAGGATTTGGGCGCCAACACGAAAAAGTTAGACGCATTTAGCGTGCCAAGCGGAATTTTGGTGCCCTGAGCTAGTTGAACTTACCTGGCCTGCAAAGACTTGAAATAGTTGACAAACTTGATCACGAAGGATTCTACTATGTTTTTGTCCGTATGTGGATTAGGCGTTGCCAATCGATGTTTCCATGAGATGCTTTTTAACATGTTTGTGTCATCTTGTGGGAACACATGCGACTCACTTGTCAGCGAAATGCCCTGATACCTTTGAAGCTTTCCTCGCACCAAAAAGCTGGGACTGTAAGGACAAGTTGGGATTTGGCCATTGTACTCTTCTCTGCTAATGAATGGAAGACGATGAAAATCATATGGTTTGCTCTTGCTTTGAGGCGAGTTGTTGGGTTGTTTTCCTGCGTGAAGGGGAATGGCTTCATGATGCTTACTTTGAGAAAAACTTGACAAATATTTCGTGGGAATAATTTCAAATTCTGTATTGGAAGGGCTATATGACCAATATACAGCCACGTGGGCCAATCCAGAACCTTGCTTACTCAAAGACTCGATGTAATATTTCTTGCCAGACTGAAGGGTTATCAGGTCAGATATTTGATCAGAATATTTATTGAAGTCTCCTTTCTGAGTCCAAGCTGATTCATCCGGAGAATAAACGCGCGCGATCATCTTAGCGGAAGCGGGATCTTCATTTGGACTCAGCCACAACTCTGATGCATCATCTGATGTGATGGCAAACTTATACTGGCCGCTTTTCAGCGGATGGAGAAATCCAAAAATTCTTTCTCCGTTATTATTTGAATTGTGAAGCTGAGATTTGTGAAATTCATAAATAAAAGAAGTCTTGTCTGGAAAGTAAGGAAAATGAGGCCAGTGTCTTAAAATGTCAACTTCAGTTCCGCATATTTCAGACCACATGTGTACGTTCAAACTTCCATTTGGCATTGAGGAGTGGATATCGATTTTTCGCTTCCCTGTTAACGTTTGTTCCGTCGATGCGACCATCGCTCTGATTTGTTTCTCTGTGTTATACTCAGTATGTTGTCTTGTTTCACAAGGGCCATCTGTAGCAGTATTCTTTGAGAGTGAGTATTCTTCAGTCACCAGTTTTTCCGAAGGACTGAGTAACAATAAATATCCAATAAAAGGCAAGCTTGCCACCACTACGACAAAAACAAAACGTCGCTTGCCAAATAATCGTCTCCCTAAAACAGGAATTCGCCAAAGAGCCATTAATATGAGACCCAGTATGAGTTGGCTCGGCTTGGAACCACCGCAATTCAAACTTGCCAGGATGTTTTGTGAACAATCCAGTACTCTAAAATCTACCGAAGTAGAGAATCTCGTTTTTAGTAGTCTAAATTCACCAACTCACGTGGAGAGACGTACATTAAAAAGCCGAATCCTTAACTGAGCTTGCCATTAGTAACAACAAAGTGAATTGCCTCCGTAGGAAAGTCAAGGCAATATTGAAATAATCGATAATTTAACACCATCAACAACATTGTATTGGTCGCACTATGTGGTATGCAAATTGGCCTTTGCTGAAAACGTAAAGTAAAATGGGCTCCCAAATGGGGCACCTGGAGTAATTTTATTTTTGTTACTAACTTGTGAACATTATGTTTTGTTTTGCCATTTGTTATTGGTTGTAAAAAACAGTTTTATGGGAAAGCATCTACTGAGAAATGCAATTAGGAGTTTTGCTGTCGGCTCATCGAAATATAATTAATTTGTTTTCACGCAGTTGTCGACACGCCAGTTGAAAAGCACGTCTGTACATGTATGTGGACTAAATCTCGTGAACTTTCAGAAAAGGTGCCCGGAGAGTCTCCAATATGAAATCCAAACTGGTTTGTATTTCTAAAATAATACACGCCGGCCTGCAATAGGTAGAAATGCACAAAAACATGACTCGAAGATTCGAAAAAGAAGGCAAGACCCAAGATCTAATCGGAAACCCGGCTAGCGTTGAGCAGAATTTTACTGATAAATTTAGACACTACTGATACTGATGGTCAAAAATTCTTTTTCAGCTTCGGTTTTCCTCTTCGGAGCATTATCGTCAAACGCCTTTGCAATATTGGAAGCACTCTTGGGCTGTTCACACTTATCCGCTTAAGTCTCTAAACGAATATTAATATTTGAACGGTGCCAGGTCCTTTCATCGTCTTCGTGTGGACGGACGTAAACGCTCACAGTTCCAACAGCAGACTTCCAGGTTAAGAAGTCTGACAAAAACTTGGACACTTTCTACGCTTGCCAAAAATCCGAAAATGATTAAATATCCGAAATGAAAATCATTCGACCCAAAATTTCGGAAATTCCGGGATTAAAATCAAATAAAACAGAAATTCCCGGTGACAAATTTTCCAATTTTTTGGGTGTTCGCGAGGTTGTCCTCTCTTTCGAAAATTGTGGAAAATGCTGTTTCATTGCCCACTGGAGATTTCTTGAAATGCACAGCAAAAGTTTGGTCGAATGGTAAGCGCCCCTAATTTAACCAAAAAAGTCAGTAATTATGGTCCATCAGTCTTACAGAAGGTATAGGGACGCAACAAGAAAGTACCCGTTTAGTGCACGTCATTCATTAAGCGATCCAGTTAGATAAGTTGAAATAAGGACAACTACGTGATGACGCTCTAATGACGTAACAAATAGGCACGCAGGGGTCCAACCAGGACGGAGTAATTTTTGTTACTACTTACTGGTGGAAAAAATACTAGTGCTTGGTTAAGCATTTTCCTTCAATGGCGGACTGTGGTAGGTGTGTTAGGTATAAAGCCTCAGTCTGAATAAAAATTACTTTACTTTTATTTTTAAGTTTACAGTCGTGCAGAGATTTTATTTGGATGATAAACTGGGTGAAAAGCTTGTTGTAGTTAGTTTCTTAATTTCTTACGAGCTTAGTTTCTTGCAAGTAGGCGGTGAAATCAGAGGGGCTCCTACGCTTAACATTGATTTGGCAGCACTCCAAAAAAAAATATTAATTAAAAATAAATGATAGTAATAATAAAAAACCAACTAAACCAAAGGCCCCGATTGTTCAATGGATCGATAAGCGTATCTATTTAGGGAGNAATGAAATACACTGTAGCGCTGTTATTCCATATGAAACCCTCAGGAAGGCACAAGGTGTCGTTTCCCTTTTTCTGATACACGTGTTCTGACAGTCGAAATGATTGATTGGTGTTGTCCAAGCCGAGTTCAAGGTTTAACAAGAAGCGATCGCCGTACTTCGGGTCTGGCTTGTGAATTACTTTGTGAATTTTCTTCAAGAAGTAGTTCCTAAACAAAGAAAAGGTTTGATTTTAATAAAGATTCGACAAGAATCAATCGAGTCCAAGTTAATTATGTCCATGAGTGGCTAACCCAAGTACATTCAGAGCCAAAGCCGGAGAAAAATTATGACTGAGACAATGTCCATGGTTAAATTCTCTTCTTAAAGATATTTAGCAGCTGTTTTACTTTCCCCTTCAAAAAAGAAACTACAGAAACTGACTGAAGAAAGTGCCTCGGTTTGCCACATACTGGCTACGCCCCCCGGTACTCCCTTTAGGGGCATAGCCAGGGGGACAGGTCACACTTTGTCAATTGCGGGCTTTTCAACAATGGCCAAGATATCGCCATGGCATTTAAGTTGTTTGCTTAAAAATGGCTTACAAAAGGGGGGTCACGGAAACCCCAGGAACCCCCTAGCTACGTCCTTGCCCTTATATGGACTGTATAAGTATGTGCGGCCCCAAAGGGTAGGGTTTTCAGCGCTAACCCTTTGGTCATGTATAGGGTGTCGATTTTTGCCATTGTGGTTTTAAATAGCGTATTGTGTTTGCACCCTGGTCTTGAACTGGGTATGTTTTTAGAAGAAGCTACTTTTTCAGGTCATAAATAGGGTAGGGAAAATCGACGACTTTGGTCATAAATAGGGTAAGGGTTTTGGGAAGGGGACCCTACATGCCCACCCAGTTTTGTTGGGAGTACTCGACCGGGCTGCGGCCCTGACATTGGATGCTTTTTCACCAAGGCTCAGTGAGATATTACCTCTCTTTTGACTCATGGCCAAAAATCTGTGAGATAAAGGATTAAACAACATTCATAAATTTTGAGCTTTTCCGAACTAAGGGACCAACTGTTTACGATGCCTAGGTGTAGAAGACGTAAGAAAGGTACTGAACACAGTAGAAATGAATAAAAAACCCATATGATGCGTTACGCTCATTTTAACATGCTGAAGCAGGGCTTAGCCCGAAACGTTTACACGAACTATTTGACACTGTAAAGAGCTTTTTCAGCCTGGTACTAAACACACCGTACAAGTGATATAAGATGTCTTAAAATTTAGCCTTCGGTTGCTGACCTGCGTCTGCTGCTTTCAACCAATCAGGATTGAGAGACTTTGTTGAGTGCACCATAATAGCATGTTGATAAGCACAATACTGCTAGAGTGACAGTGTGACTGATGAGATATTGCATTATCAGTGTTTGTTTAAGTATGACAGTTCCTCGAGTAAACATCCAATATTAGAACTTTGAAAATATATCCTTGTCACGAAACTGAAAATTTCTTTAACTAACTCCCGTATGCCATGTTCTTTGTAAGTTAGTATTGCTGCGGTGAGTACTTCATACGTAACGAAAGATGGGAGGAAGACGCTAAATTAACTACTCCGAAACTTTCAAACAAAGCCCTCACTAAGGTTAACAACAACAACTACAGCTCCCTGCAAAAACAAATATAACATTGTGTTTTATAACCGTAAATTTTGCATTAAAAGTGTGTATAAATATCCGATAATATAAAGTAATGCAAAGCCGTGGACTCAACGGTTATTGTAACATNTGGTCTTGAACTGGGTATGTTTTTAGAAGAAGCTACTTTTTCAGGTCATAAATAGGGTAGGGAAAATCGAAGACTTTGGTCATAAATAGGGTAAGGGGTTTGGGAAGGGGGCCGCACACTCCCACCCAATTTTGCTGGGAGTACTCGACCGGGCTACGGCCTTGACATTGGATGCTTTTTCTCCAAGGCTCAGTGAGATATTACCTCTCTTTTGACTCATGGCCAAAAATCTGTGAGATAAAGCGTTAAACAACATTCGTAAATTTTGAGCTTTTTCGAACTAAGGGACCGACTGTTTACGATGTCTAGGTGTAGAAGACGTAAGAAAGGTACTGAACATAGTAGAAATGAGTAAAAAACCCGTTACGCTCATTTTAACATACTGAAACAGGGCTTAGCCCGAAACGTTTACACGAACTATTTGACACTGTAAAGAGCTTTTTCAGCCTGGTACTAAACACATCTTACAAGTGCAATAAGATGTCTTAAAATTTAGCCTTCGGTTGCTGACCTACGTCTGCTGCTTTCAACCAATCAGGATTGAGAGACTTTGTTGAGTGCACCACAATAGCATGTTGATAAGCACAATACTCTAGAGTGACAGTGTGACTGTTGAGATATTGCATTATGAGTGTTTGTTTAAATATGACAGTTCCTCGAGTAAACATCCAATATTAGAACTTTGAAAATATATCCTTGTCAGGAAACTGAAAATTTCTTTAACTAACTTCCGTATGCCACGTTCTTTGTAAGTCAGTATTGCTGCGGTGAGTACTTCATACGTAACGAAAGATGGGAGGAAGACGCTAAATTAACTACGCCGAAACTTTCAAACAAAGCCCTCACTAAGGTTAACAACAACAATTACAGCTCCCTGCAAAAAACAAATATAACACTGTGTTTTATAACCGTAAATTTTGCATTAAAAGTGTGTATAAATATCCGATAATATAAAGTAATGCAAAGCCGTGGACACAACGGTTATTGTAACATATAAGGCATCGCTTCTCTAAGGCAAGAAATGGTGTGGTTTTCTACTGTAGAGCTAAATACGGCACTTTCTTACCTAGCGAAATTAAGAAGCGAGTTGAACTTACCTAGACCGCAAAACATCGATGAACTTGTTCACGATGGGTTCAACTGTGTTCCTATAAACCCGTGGATTGGGTTTTGACCATGGATGTTTCCAGGCACTTTTGAAAAGGTCTGTCTTTTGTTTTAGGAATAATAAACTGTTAATGTAAAAAAAGAGAGAAAAAAGTTACTCACCGACGGGATCTCTTAATATTTTTTTAGGAATTCCGATGTCCTATCTTGACAAAGTACGTAAAGGAAACCAAATTTACTTTCTTCCAGTAGACATTTGGCTTCTAAATGCTAAAAAAAATAACTATAAAAGGTGAAAAAAATAGGCTTGGTTTAGACGACTGATAGAGTAGCTTTTTTTGTGCCAAAAAACAAACAAATAACAACAACAACATCAACAACAAAAAACCCATCCTATTCGTGTGACTTGCTATAAACGCTTCCCTACTATGGGTTGTATCGTGGAAGACTCTGTCTGACTACTAGAAATCCAAGCTGGCGTCTAGCGGCATGTGCCGATTTTCGGAAACTAGATTTTCTGAAAGCACATTTTAATAAATTTTGCTTTAAACATCTTAAAAAACTCTGAAAGCCGTAAACTGGCGTGAGACGATGAATTCTAGTCACCATTTTGGCGGCTAATTTTCAGGATTTGGGCGCCAACACGAAAAAGTTAGACGCATTTAGCGTGCCAAGCGGAATTTTGGTGCCCTGAGCTAGTTGAACTTACCTGGCCTGCAAAGACTTGAAATAGTTGACAAACTTGATCACGAAGGATTCTACTATGTTTTTGTCCGTATGTGGATTAGGCGTTGCCAATCGATGTTTCCATGAGATGCTTTTTAACATGTTTGTGTCATCTTGTGGGAACACATGCGACTCACTTGTCAGCGAAATGCCCTGATACCTTTGAAGCTTTCCTCGCACCAAAAAGCTGGGACTGTAAGGACAAGTTGGGATTTGGCCATTGTACTCTTCTCTGCTAATGAATGGAAGACGATGAAAATCATATGGTTTGCTCTTGCTTTGAGGCGAGTTGTTGGGTTGTTTTCCTGCGTGAAGGGGAATGGCTTCATGATGCTTACTTTGAGAAAAACTTGACAAATATTTCGTGGGAATAATTTCAAATTCTGTATTGGAAGGGCTATATGACCAATATACAGCCACGTGGGCCAATCCAGAACCTTGCTTACTCAAAGACTCGATGTAATATTTCTTGCCAGACTGAAGGGTTATCAGGTCAGATATTTGATCAGAATATTTATTGAAGTCTCCTTTCTGAGTCCAAGCTGATTCATCCGGAGAATAAACGCGCGCGATCATCTTAGCGGAAGCGGGATCTTCATTTGGACTCAGCCACAACTCTGATGCATCATCTGATGTGATGGCAAACTTATACTGGCCGCTTTTCAGCGGATGGAGAAATCCAAAAATTCTTTCTCCGTTATTATTTGAATTGTGAAGCTGAGATTTGTGAAATTCATAAATAAAAGAAGTCTTGTCTGGAAAGTAAGGAAAATGAGGCCAGTGTCTTAAAATGTCAACTTCAGTTCCGCATATTTCAGACCACATGTGTACGTTCAAACTTCCATTTGGCATTGAGGAGTGGATATCGATTTTTCGCTTCCCTGTTAACGTTTGTTCCGTCGATGCGACCATCGCTCTGATTTGTTTCTCTGTGTTATACTCAGTATGTTGTCTTGTTTCACAAGGGCCATCTGTAGCAGTATTCTTTGAGAGTGAGTATTCTTCAGTCACCAGTTTTTCCGAAGGACTGAGTAACAATAAATATCCAATAAAAGGCAAGCTTGCCACCACTACGACAAAAACAAAACGTCGCTTGCCAAATAATCGTCTCCCTAAAACAGGAATTCGCCAAAGAGCCATTAATATGAGACCCAGTATGAGTTGGCTCGGCTTGGAACCACCGCAATTCAAACTTGCCAGGATGTTTTGTGAACAATCCAGTACTCTAAAATCTACCGAAGTAGAGAATCTCGTTTTTAGTAGTCTAAATTCACCAACTCACGTGGAGAGACGTACATTAAAAAGCCGAATCCTTAACTGAGCTTGCCATTAGTAACAACAAAGTGAATTGCCTCCGTAGGAAAGTCAAGGCAATATTGAAATAATCGATAATTTAACACCATCAACAACATTGTATTGGTCGCACTATGTGGTATGCAAATTGGCCTTTGCTGAAAACGTAAAGTAAAATGGGCTCCCAAATGGGGCACCTGGAGTAATTTTATTTTTGTTACTGACTTGTGAACATTATGTTTTGTTTTGCCATTTGTTATTGGTTGTAAAAAACAGTTTTATGGGAAAGCATCTACTGAGAAATGCAATTAGGAGTTTTGCTGTCGGCTCATCGAAATATAATTAATTTGTTTTCACGCAGTTGTCGACACGCCAGTTGAAAAGCACGTCTGTACATGTATGTGGACTAAATCTCGTGAACTTTCAGAAAAGGTGCCCGGAGAGTCTCCAATATGAAATCCAAACTGGTTTGTATTTCTAAAATAATACACGCCGGCCTGCAATAGGTAGAAATGCACAAAAACATGACTCGAAGATTCGAAAAAGAAGGCAAGACCCAAGATCTAATCG